CTGGGCCTGGGCCTGGGCCACTGCTGCTGCCGCCGCGGCTGCCTGCACTTGTTGCTGGAGATCAGGAGGGTTGTGTTTGCGCATATGCTTCATTAGGTATGTTTCCTGAGGGAGACAGTAAAAAGTTGAGGGAAAGAAAAAGGTGACTATGGCTAGCACCCTGGGCTCTTCCTCTGCTGTCAGCAGAGCAATGTCTCTCCAGAGATGTTCTAGGGCCAGGAGTGGGCAGAACGCGAGTAGCACTTCTGGTGCTCGTTACTGGTAGAAAGGAGGGGGGACCTCGAGAAATCACTGCGAACATTCAACTGGCAAAGTAATAAGGAGGTGACCCACTCCTCAAGGACCTCTGAATGAGACAACTTTACAATCTTTTTCTGGAGTCCAGTGGAAAACGCCTAACTGAAATCCTGTTCCCCTCACATTTCAAGTGGATTTTGCTTCACGTTTAAGTAAAAGGAAGAATTACTGTTTATCAATCTCTGTAGGCTTGGGGACCAGGCATGCCCTAAATTCCTCAGCTATGGGTCTATTAATTTCTGAATCTTGACTGTTCTGCTAAGTGGCGGCTGGAAGGGCAGAGAACTTGCTACAATGGATCTTTAGCCAGAGGGTGGGGGCAAAGTGGACCACAGCCAGTGGGACTCTGGGGAAGGAGAGAGAACCGAACACTCACCGATGTGTATGCGCGACTGCAGATGGTGCAGGTGTACACCTTGGCATGCTTCACCGTGTGCGTAGACAGGTGCACCTCGAGTGAGGCTGCATCTGTGTACGCCCGATGACAGTTGTGGCACTTGAAGGGTTTATCTTTGTTGTGTTGCCGTCTGTGGGACTGAGAAAGTTGGGAGAAACCAAGATGAGGACACTGTACCCTTTCGCCTGCCCCTTAGTTCTTTTTTTGAACTGGAGTCTCACTCTGTCGCTCAGACTGGAGTGCAGGGGCTGCTCCCGGCCACCGCAGCCTCGACCTGCCGGGCTCCAGCGATCCTTCCGCCTCAGCCTTCCAGGTAGCCAGAACTACAGGTGTGCACTACCACGCCCGGCTAATTTTTTCTTGATTTCTTGTAGAGATGAGGTCTCGCCAAGTTACCCAGGCGGGTCTCGAACCCGCGGGCTCAGGCAATCCATTCACCTCAGCCTCCCAAAGTTGCGGGATTACAGGCTGAGCCACCGAGCCCGGCTACCCCTTTGTCCTTTACGGCAAGCCCTAAGCCGGGTGCCGAGCCGCACAGCTTCTCTTTCCATCTGAGCACAGTGGAAATTGCTTCGGATGGAACTTCATACACTCGAGGCTAAGAGAAGAGCAAACCTCACACCAGGAAGCAGCACATACCAGGACCCTAGAGGTGAGAATAACGGCATATGCCTGGTCTCACTAGTCCTGTGGTTCTTTTTTTTTTTTTTTGAATTAGAGTCTCACTCTCTCACCCAGACTTGAGTGCGGTGGCATGCTCCCGGCCACCGCAGCCTCAGCCTGCTGGGTTCCGGCGATCCTTCCGCCTCGGCCTTCTAAGTAGCTGGAGCTACAGGCATGCGCTACCACACCCAGTTCTTTTTTTATTTATTGTACAGACGAAGTCTTACCAAGTTTCCTGGGTGGGTCTCGAACCCATAGGCTCAGGCAATCCACTCGCCTTGGCCTCCCAAAGTGCTGGGATTACAGACCGAGCCACCGAGCCAGGAGGCGGTTCTTCAAGTGATGCAGGGAAACTAGGGAACACTAAGACTTTTTTGGGAGCCCACCAAGTCCAAACTCTTCAAAAGACAGCATTTGCCTTTGTCTCTCATTCTCTCTCATGATTGTACCTAGATTACATGACCTAACATAAAGCAATAGACTGGATGCAGCAGATATGAGACTCTAACTTGTGTTAAGTCAGACATTAAAGCTAGACACCTGCAGGCTAGACACAGTGGCTCACACCTGTAATCCCAGCACTTTAGGAGGCCAAGGCGCAAGGGCTGCCTGAGCCCAGGGGTTTGATACCAGCCTGGGCAACTTCATGAGACCTGATCTCTACAATAAACTTTTTAAAATTAGCTGGGTGTGATGGTGTATGCCTGTAGTTCCACCTACTTGTAAGAACTGCCTGGGTGACCATTAGCATGCCACTGCACTCCCACTTTGGCAACAGAGTGAGACTTCAACTCAAAACAAAACAAAACAAAAAAACCAGGCGTAGTGGCTCACACCTATAATCCCAGCATTTTGGGAGGCTGAGGTGAGAGGACTGCCTGAGTTCAGGTTTCCAGACCATCTTGGACACCTTGGCGAGACCTCGTCTCTACAATAAATCAAAAAATTGCTGGGCTCGGTGAATCAGCCTGTAATCGCGCGCCTTGGGAGGCTGAGGTGAGTGGATTGCCTGAGCCCACAGGTTCGAGACCCACCTGGGCAACTCGGCAAGAACTCATCTCTACAATGAATCAAAAAATTAGCCAGGCGTGGTAGCGCATGCCTGTAGCTCCAGCTACTTGGAAGGCTGAGGTGGAAGGATCGCGGGAGCCCAGCAGG